TTTATTGAAATTAGTTTGCATTCCCACACGAGATCCCGTTTAATAGAACTGTAGGCTTCTCTGGTGTTAAATAAATAAAATTACATTGATATAAAGTGCAGTGGTGGTGGGGGAAAGTGTGGGGGGGGGTGACTTCCAAGGCAGGGAAGGGCCATTCAATTGTCACACCGTGTATGTAGTTTTATTCCACTCACCCCAAATATCGCCTCCAGTCAAGATGCCAAGAATCATTGTGTCTAAGAGTAGTAGTAATAATAGTACCGTAGTAAGTAGTAGTAATATCCGTTACCTATCAATTTTTAGAGATAGGCTTTGTGAAGAGAAAGGTGTGAATTTGATGAAAAGGCATCTAGCAATAATTAACTCCAGGTAAACCTTTTCACTTCCTAAGAGTATTTTTCTCCCTCCTTCTAATACGTTTTGTCCAGTTAAAAACTTTCATCAGCTGTTGATTCACCAATACGAAAACACCCCCCTCCTCTCTCTCTCTTTTTTTTTTTCTTCGTCGAGGTCCTAAACATGTGTGTTCCCGCGTGTCTGTGTGTGTAAAAATGCCGGAGCACACGCATCTACATATGTGTCTTCCAACTTAAAGAGTCGAAAGGCTTTTGACAAGTTACTAATTATCCCCCTCGTCTTTACGGCGCTTTTCCGCGGGTCCTTCCCTCTTTTTAGCAAAATATAAACTAAATAAACTGCTATTTATTAACCTGCCGCTCAGTTTAAAGACAGGCTGTTTTTTTATTCCTATTTCTTCGCAAGTCAGTTTTATAGGAAGCCGCCGGTTCAAAAATGGAGTTTTGGGGGCCTTTTGGTGTGTATGTGTGTGTTTTTTGCGAAAACGAAAGGTAACTTTTCATGTCTCTCTAAGATAAACGATTCCAGGTAGATCCTGTTTACGGAAGCGCTGATTCAAATTAACTATTGGGGTACGAAGATAGAGAAAAAAAAAGCCGAACGAATCTCCCTTCCAAAACTCTTCCCATTAAAGAAATAAAATGGAAAGCTAAGAGGGGTTTTTATATGTTTCAGCCCATTTAGGAGAAATGAAATGCTTTTGAATAAAGAAAGGTTTTAGCTTTTCAAGAAGCGGGCCGAATTCAGACTTTAAGTGCTTTTTAAACTTTAAGAGTGTGAGAAATGTCTAATTATTTTCCGAGTTCGCTCACGGAAACTAGTTTGCAATAAGGAGGGGGTTATTATTATTATTATTATTATTATTATTATTATTATTATTATTATTATTATTATTATTATTTCCAAGAGAGGGGGAATCGTTTAGGGGTCGAACCTGGCTTTTTATTTAGCTCTATTTCAAATTTCTTAACCGCCCAGCTCCTTCGTTCTTGGGGCCTTTTCTTATCGAATTTACTTTCGGGACTTGGCGAGGCCCCAGATTTTGATTTGGGGGAATGAATGAGGGGCGCTTCAGCGCGAACCCGGGCAGGGAGAAAAGAGGAAGCGAAGCGAGCGTTTGTCTATTCGGGAGTTTTTACTCGGCGGGGAATCTGCCCGCCGCCGCGATCCTGTCTGAGGCTTTGAACCAGGCTAGCTTCGAGGGCTTTCGATTGAGGGATCCCCGCCAGTCCAGAGCGGGGAAGCGGTGCCCAACCGAAGGAAGACAGCGAATAAGTGCCAGTCTCTCAGCGCGGTGCGACGGGGTCGGAATTGAACACACAGCCCTGGGCATAGAGTGGCCGCCTGAATGGCTTAGGGTAGCCTTTGCCCAACACCTGCCTATCTCTCCCAGATCCTTGGGAAGGACTTGATGGGTGGATTAAAAAAAAAACAACAATGCCAAATCCATCTTGACTGCGCGGTGAGCCATCATCCTCTCGTTATTCTTATTCCTCCTCCTTGGTGCTCTCTGAGCTTGGTTGTTTTCTTGCAGAGGTTTTTTTTTGCAGCATTGAACATCATCAATGCAACCCTAGTTTGGGTAATGAAACAAGCGCGGAGAACACCGAAGGATTCCTCATTTCAACTCGGAGGTGTAAATGTTCCTCTTTATCGGTATCCCTTCTCCCTCTGTACTGAAAGGCTGTAGAAATATTTAGAAGTGGTTTCTCTCTCTCCCTCTCTCTCCCTCTCTCTCTCTCTCTCTCTCTCTCTCTCTCTCCCTCTCTCCCTGTGTCTCTGTCTGTGTCACTCTGTCTCTCTGTCTGTCTCAAATCGGTTTATTCAGTGGAGACGGCCTAATCATTAAAAAGTTAGATAAAATTGCGCCCCCCTCCCGGAGGGGGGAAAATGGATCTGATTTTATTTTAACGCCCCCAAGTCCTTCGTTCGAGGCGAAGAGAGATGGAGGGGTGGAGGAGAAAATTAAAAAGAAATAAATAAATAAGAACAAGAAGCAAGTGCCCTTCTCAATCCGGTTTCCTCCGGATTGAGCCCAAGCACTTTAAACGGAGTGAGGGCACGGGCTATATATAAATCGTCTGGAAGGGCTCCTTTGAAATTTTCTAGGACTTCCTAAGTGGAAAACTTCTGAAAAGAACGCACCCGCCCTCCCGGCTCCCCCCACTTCTCATTTCCTCCGTTTATACCGTCCCCTTAAAATTTCAAAAAGGAAGGAAGGAAGGAAGAAAGAAAGAAAGAAGAAAGAAAGAAAGGAAAAAGGAAGAAAGGAAGGAAAAAGGAAGAAAGAAAGGAAGAAAGAAAGAAAGAAAGGAAGGAAGGAAGAAAGGAAGAAAGAAAAAAAGGAAGAAAGGAAGAAAGAAATTAATTATCCCCAATACCACTTCAAGGTGACTCAGATCCGCCACATCTTTTGGGATGGAATAATTGGAGAAACACCTGAGTGGTTTTGGACTACAGCACCCATCCACCCCTACCCAACGCAATCTGCAATCCCCCCTAAGTAATGCAAAGAATCTGGAAACTTCGGTTCATTTTCCGCTGTGTTTTTTTTTTTTTTAAACTCAATGAGGTTTGATTTCTGAATGGAGGTAGCTATGCTGACCCAGTGCAAAAGTTTTTTGTCTTTTTTTTTTTTTGCAGCCACTTTGA